ATTTTACTTTATTGACTCTTTATAAGATATATGGACATGACCTTATTCATTTTACTTTATTGAGTCATTATAAGATATATGGACATATATGGACTGATACTGATTACATTACTGAGTACGGATTACATTCTAATGCAGGGGATGGGTTTAAATGTGCATAAATTGGAGCTGAACTGTGGTTTGGTCCAGGGTGAGGTCGCTATGGGTGTGCGTCCTGCCTTGCCAATTAGAGGCGTGCACATCATTCTAGGGAACGACCTGGCTGGTAGTCGCTTGTGGGCTGGCAGTCCACCACCTCCGGTGCTAACATTTCCTCCCTCTGTTGCAGTGATACCTGAAGAGAGTGTGCAGTGTTTCTCTGATGTTCCTTGTGTGGAGACAAAGGCTAAGTACCATGTGGAGTTGGACCCTGAGTCCACACTTGAGCGGTATCCTCTGTGGCTGTCACTGACTATCTCCTGTCTGTTTATTGCAGTGACCTGGTGGGAGAGCAGAGAGCTGATCCCTCTCTGAGCCAGCAGATGGAGAGAGTTCTAACCATTGATGATGGGAAGAGTGTCACAAAGGGTTACGTGCTTGCAGTGGTGGTGTATCAGAGTGAGGGGCATCTGGCCTCATGCCCTTTGCGGTTCATTACTATCTCCGGAGTTCCAGAGGGAATTCAGAGTGGTTAGAATTGTGGATTGTCATTATATTTGTTTGGTTCCTTTGGGCAACTTCATATTGGCACGCTTTTGAAAAATCTTACCGTTTTCTGTGCAGTTCCTGGGGGGGGGGGGGGGGGGGTGACGACCCTCCTCCTTCCATACACTAGGTGTCCCTGTTGCTTGTGGTTGTCTGCAGGTGCTGATTGGAGTGTCATCAGCTGGATGAGCCACACCTGAGTTAGTGTGGATTTGCAAATCAATACCTTCTTCTTTTGGTAGCTTCGCTCTTTTGGAGAGGATATCCTTTCTGCCACCGGCTTGACACAGTTCTTTTGGGTTTATATTCTGTATATTCTGCTATACACACACCTATACATGCACTTCAGGACTGACAACTGATACCTACCCTTTGTATTGTTTAATTTATGTTTGTGGGAAATAAAAATGCTTTTCTAAGCAGCCAACTAGCTTGTCTCTCTGTTTTGTTGCAGTCTCTGAGTCGGACTGTGACACTATCTATATTTGAAAATGGCCAGTCTTCGAATTTTTACACACAAAAGTCTGACAGTTGTTCTGTCCACTTTGATCACAAGACAACTAGTGACAAGATTGCCAAACGTTTTTTTTTGTTTACGTTAGGTCAGATTTTCACAACACGATTACCGTGGACAGAAGAATTTAGGATATTATTGGAATATCTAAAAAATATAATAATCAGTCAAATTAATCTACAACTTTGTTTATTGTGTGCTTTTTTTCTCTTTTTTGTTTGTATGGAGATGGACAGAGTCTGTAACCATAACTGTATAAAATATATATCGAATGATTTACAAGAGGCGTTGGATTATTTACATGATGTTGTATTAGTATTTCATTTTTTAATATCACGGTTATCGTCAACACCGGTATATTGCGACACTCCTCATTCATGTACAGATAACCCTAGATAGTTGACTTTTTACTCATTCCATCCATGGAGCCTGTTTTACCAATCTCACAGTTGAATCGTCGCAGTGTTGGAAAAATGTGGTTATGAAACAAAGGATTATTCCATTCGGACTATATGGGGGTGATGGATGTGTGATTTCACATTGAATTGCTTGGTTTCTTTCTACCAAAAATCATTATACATAGCCTATTCTGGTGTAGATATCAGTTTATTAATAATACTGTTCATATGAATTTGAAAATAACCAATCAATCTCCTTAGTGTGCATGAATAAATCACCATGTAGACTAAATTGCACTATCCGTCGGAGCTGCATCTTGAGAATAGCCTCAGAAAGGCTGAATAACAACAACATAAGGCTGCTGTTACAAAATGAGAGAACCCGCACTGGCTCTCTGGCCCACAATGGATCCAGTTCAAAGTCCTTCTCCTCACTCACAGAGCCCTCCATAACCAGGCTCCCTCCTAGCGCACCGACCTGATCCACTACCACAGTGTTGTTCCTCTGATACCTCCTGTCTCCACCACTCAGGACCAAACACCAGACCTGTAGCGACGGAGCCTTCGATCATTTGAACTAGTGTAACATGTCTTTGAGTCCCTCAGCTTTAAAATGTATTATTCTTAGGGCCCAAGCACCAACAACGGCAGGTCGCGAAGGCCCTATTGAAATTGCTCGGTTATTATTATGATTTTCATTTTTGTAAATTGGATGCATTTTTGGGATGCTTGCCATGCTCAAAAAACTTGTCAATCGTGGTGAAAATAGATATCTGGCATGGATTTTTTCCTTGGACAAGACAAAATGTCTCTCTAGCACCCAGTTTTCAAAATAAAAGACCCCACCTTTAACTTTCCAGTAGCTGTATGGAATTCGGTAGGTATATAACATGGAGGTAGGTATATACGTGGAGACGTACAAAAAAGCCTTTTGAATACCGTTAACCAAACAGGAAGTCGACTCATTGATTATAAGGTGATTTGGGGTCATTTTGGCCTTTTACATGTGGTGTACTTTAACAAATTCCTACAGATTTTATTATTATTAATAGATTAATGAATTAGAGCACTCATATAAGAAGGCTAAATATATTTTTGAAGGAGAAGCGGAGAGAAAGCTGTTTGCAGCTTATCTCTATCTCTCTTGTCGTCTGTGGACTGCTGCAATGGGGGGGTGGGGGGGGGGGATGGAACTCTGGAGAATTCTATTTATCAAATCACAAAGGCTGAGAAACCGTGTGTGTAGGTCCGTTTTAGTACCCGAACAGCGTCACGCCCTACTTCCACACCCACACACACACTACTACATCCACCTAAAAGCGCAGTTCATTATTCTGTATCATGTAAATGGTGTATCACATATTCTAATTTTCTATGCATACATATAGCTTACAGGGGGGGGGGGGTCAACGAGCAAAAGAAAAAGACATAATTCAACAATCAGTTGACGTTAGACATGACCAATCAGATTTGACTGGATATTCTTAGTCTGGGAAACCCCTGAATTCTATTAACTGTTATTGGTAGTGACAATAGGGATACAGACAGGAACCTTGGGGAGAGAGAGGGGAATGACAGTCAGACAGAAACTGGATGTTGTCTGTGTCTTAAGTTTAAGGTCGCCTGGAAGCTCCTCAGAATTAATTCTACCACCATCGTGTGTTTCTTGTACACACAAAATATCATAATCTAATTGAGATTATGCAGATTGGGCGATATTGACTGAGCCCATTTAAGCTCCTCAGAGGGCAAACCTTTCCATTATTTCTTCCCTCGTTGTGACACCTTCAGAACAAAACCATCAGTATGTTCACCTCGTCCACTGCGGCGGAACACTCAGCCACATACTACTGTCAATCTCGTTTTTTGACTGTGGCTCAACTCTCAGTCTTTGTAGTTATACGTGTAAACATATGTTGGATGGCTGAATGAGTCAGCGGAGACAGGGTGCACCACTCTCTGAAATGTGGATATTTCAGCTCCTAATGGCAATTAGCAGGGCTTCAGACTGTTTGTGCTTTCGAGATTTCTACTTGATGTGTATAATTCAAGCATGATTGTAAACGTGTGTGTGTCTGTGTGTGTCTTCCTCCAGGTGCGTGCCAGTGCCATAGCCCAGGATGCGGACCAAAACTATGACTATGCCAGTAACAGCGCTGTGCTGCATCTAGAGCCAGGAGACGAGATCTACATTAAACTAGACGGAGGCAAAGCTCATGGAGGCAACAACAACAAGTACAGCACCTTCTCTGGATTCATCATCTACGCTGACTAGACAACAACACCATCATACCCTGAGCTGTTACAGGCCTTCTCGCCCAGTCCTTTTACAAATCTTCCCCCTTGATGCTCAGACTTTACTCTTTTCAACATGTGTGGATAAAACAATATTAATCAGCCTTCATAACCTGCACAATATTTTATTTTCTACATTCTGCCAATGTCACTGTACGGAGCGAAAGTTACTTGGACAGTAACATCAATGAAATGGTCGAATTGTCAAAGTGATGAATCAAACCCGATCCTCTCTTTATACCATGACATCACACTTAAAGTTGCAACTGATGTCTTTGTGTTGATGTAGTGATGGTGGTAAAGCGGCGAGCGAGGAGTTTGTTTGTGCATGTGTTGGGGTGTGGGCAGACATTCACTAAACATCAGTAACCTGTAGCCTACATGTAACCGCCTGCTGCTATTTGAGTTAATGGTCAAAGATGGATGTTAATAGATACAACTTTAAAAGGGATGACTTTCACTGAAAGAGGTGATTCATTTGGTGGGCCCTCACTCTTAAATCTGATTGGGCAAGAAGAAGAAGTCAAGAAGAAAGTAGAAAAAAAGGAAATCAGATAGAAAAGCAGCAGCTAGTGGGTTGTTCTAAAAACTGACTGGGATGATTTTGTGCAATACCTACTATAATAAACTATATTCATGGTAATAATGATTAAGAAAGCCCTCAGTCAGTGTGTGTGGTTTCTTTCTTTCTTCATTGATATAATGCTGTGGAGATAGCAAGGAGAAGCTGGTTCCACTTGAAGGGCATTATGATACACTGGCAGCAGATTATAATGACCTCTTTATAGAATAGAGTCTTTAACAAAATTATTATTTTTGATTACATGTTATCAAATTACACATTTAACACATTTTTGTTTATATGTTCATGTTCTAATTTTATTATTAATCATCTAATGTAGTGATTCCTCACCATAGGTTTGTTGCCCAAATTTTACTTAAGCGTCATTCAAATGCTTTCATTAATGTTTATGCATATAGAAGTCCTTTCCTTAGGCCTAATTTACAAAATAGCAAAGAAAACTTTACAGAGGGAGAAAGTTTGGCAAAAATAAATCTGAAAACATGATTTTAACGTAGGCCCCTGATGTCTGCTGGGAGGCAAGATGGAAGTGAGGGCGGCCATGTTGAACCTCAGACAACTGCTGTTGCGAGAACTGAGTCAAAAGTAAGGGTCTATCCTAAAACTTGGAGCCATTCTTTTCTATTAGCGGGTCCCTGTTTTCTTATCTTGTGCATGAGCGTGAGGAAGCACAGACCTGCATGTGCACATGCATACGCGTAATGCGGTACACATTCCTGCCAAGGGATCCACACTATTCCACTGATCTACAGGTAGAGGGAACTCCCCCAACATATGCTGCAATGCTTCAGCAAAGGCAGATAACTAGAAGGCTATATGCTCGTAAACATTGACGTAAACAATGTCACATTTCAAATACTTGGTTTGCAAGTATTTTATGTGAGATGGAGATTTGCACTCAACACATCTGTTAGCCCTTATGGAGACACACATTTGGTGAGTAACACTGAATGAAACACATTGTCTGGCAGGTAGTGTGCCCCATGTTGGAAAAATGCACTACAATCCACCAAGGCAGTAGCTTCTAAGGGTGTGGACAAGTACATTATTCTGACATGCAGGGATAATGCCATGGATTTTTTGCAGTAATATTTGCCTCCTGCCCTTCAGTACCCAGCCAGTAACCCAAATGACACAATGTACCACAGACGCAGATCTCAAAATACTTTTTTATGTCTACATGAACTGGTGCATGTAACTTTTAAAATGACATGCACCAAAAAGTAAACAAACATGTATCACATATAGCTCTATAAAGTAGCATCAGGACCTTTGATTTCCATTTTGGATAGATGTTCATTTTTGACAAAAGCTATCTCATGTTGTTCATGGAAACTTCAAACTAACTTTTATCCGGACCTCCTCTCATTGCATGCATAACCTCTTTTTAAACGCAACATGGCCGAATGATCCATTATGACCCTTGTTTTTGTGGTAGTAGCATTCTCTTTTATTCACTGACACTTTAGACCAACTTCATATTGATCTGGCCTCAGTCATATGCACAACCTCCAGTTTCTCCAAGAACATCATGCAATGTGCTTCTGAATTCTTTTTCTACTTTTGATTTTCAGCCAGACCATTAACGGTCACACAGCTTGACTTTTTATCTACAATGATAGATAGAAGTATGATGAGTATAAATGGCAGAAGAAAACCATTTAATTCAAGAAATGAATCAGACTAGACAACTTCTGGCCAGGTACACTCCTGATATATTCCAAATACAGATATAAATACATACTGTATTTCTGTGACATAAACAGACACAGGGTACAGAGATACACATACACCCCATAGTAATATGCAAATAAGACATCTATAAAGTTGTTACAAGGATGTAACATCCTCTTAATCCAGTTAGTGTTTCCAGTGCTTGAAGTCTTTGTACTAAACTAGACTAAATAACATGATGAAATTGATACATTTACATGCCACTGCAGCTAAAACAAGTCCTTCCCAAGATGTCAGACTGTTCCTCTTAAACCACATACTGCTGTACACTGAATTATGTTACTATCTTTAGCTTTAACTTTAACTGCTTCCTGAGATTCAGTGGTGAGTTATTTAAAACCAAATAGTTGTGCTGTTGACGGCACACAGCTCACAACCCTTTGAATTATTGTTAATGCTGATGAACTGATTACCAACTGTGGCTGTTGGTATTAAAAGTAGTAGTTAGACCCTTTGTTGCTGCATATCAAGGATATGTTGAATATGGACAGTTTTGCATTGGGTCAGAACAAGCGACCATTATCTAGAGTTTCGTGGTATAATAATGAATATAACAAGCAAGAAAGTCCACTTAGGACGGGTCAGAGGGGTGCTGGAGGGGTCAAACAAACGCAGGACTTTGATTCAGGAGGCCACTGTTTGTTTTCTGTGTGAAACCAAAAAAAAACCTTGATTTATGCTTGTTACGCAATGTTGTTGCTACATAACATTACGTAAGAATGGCAGCTAAAGGGGGTTGTTGTTTATTTATGCTAGTTTCATTGTTACGTTACATTGTTACGTTACATTGTTACGTTGCATTGTTACGTTGCATTGTTACGTTGCATTGTTACGCAACAAGCATATCGTTACGTGGGAAAGATTGGACCAGAAGTGTTGACATTCCACGTATCCCGTGGTTTGCAAAAACGTACAATGCAAACTTCAAACTGAGTTTCCACATTTAGGAGCAACCACCGTGCCTGAGTGTCTCCAATAAGTCTATTATTCATCTAATGTGGTAGTCATTTTGAGGATGTTTATTCAAGTTGTTTTCTCGATTGCACTAGTGCGTGCTTGACCTACTGAGCCTGACCAAACTTGCAATGTGAACTGAAAGCACTATGCAGAAGGCAAGGCAAGGCAAGTTTATTTGTATAGCACATTTCAACAACAAGGTAATTCAAAGTGCTTCACATAAAACCATTAAAAGCATCAAAACATAAGGAAAAACAAAAGGAGATTTAAAAACAATTAAGAACATTCATTGAAACAATAAAAACAGTCATTAAAAAAACAGTGCAAGAAATAAAATACAGTAGTAAAATGCAGAAATGCAGGAAATTGATTAATATATTAATTGAATCTGGTTCAATTAAAGGCAGCAGCAAACAGAAAGAAGAAGAGAATAGCAATGTATCAATTAGGGATGCACCGATAACTATACCAGTATTGGGTATCGGGTCTGTAAGCATGTACATGTACTCATACTCGTCAAACTACTTTAAAGCCTAAAAAGCTAATAATAATTTGATGCACAAACAGGTTCAATTCCATAATTGATGCACAAACAAGTTGAATTCATCGATTATTGCCAACTGCATTGTCTGCGCAAAACAGGCAGTCGCCAGTAAGTCTCCACTGCATCCATTAGTTTAACTCTGTGGTTGTCAGCTGTGTGCCTGTCTGGTATACTCTTGTCAGGGTTTCTGCAAGTGTGTTGCAAGCCCAGCGTAACATTAGTGTGTGTTATGATTAGTATGAAGTCAGCAGTAAAATTACAGCTGGGAATATAGTAGTTCAGTGTGTATACAGTTTATTTGTCATCGAGGAAATGCTTCAACTCCTCAATATCCGTGAGGAGACCCAAGTTGTTGTGTATTACTTGTCAGCCATCTGATGATTACAGCGAAGGGCCCCAAAGTTAGCAATAATTCTGGCTCAGGCTCACTTAAGGTGGGCTGACCTTTTAGGTCAGAGGTCACTAACAGGCGGACGGCGGTCCGGACTCAGACGCCATTGTATCTGGACCCTTAACCTAAAACTGATAATTAAGAATTATAACATTTTGACAGAGCGCTTCTATTTTAAGCGGCGTAGCTTAACGGTACTCGTTCAGCGGTCCAGGAAACACACCGACCAATTACATGTGTTGTAAATCACATCACGTGATGCTGCTCAGCCAATCACATTATGTGAATTATGATGAACTTCCTGACTCGAGTGAGATTTACACACACGAAAGAGGGACGAGGAAAGAGAACGAAGCGTAGGTGAATTACGTGACTCGGAAGTTATTTCACATGACGTTCTCAAAAAAGAGAAAAGTAGTCAGAGAGACCAGAGAGACCAGAGTCTTTAGCCAAGAATGAACAGACTCTTATCTTAATTCTTCCCACAGGCAGTTTAAAACCAGTATGTCTCATATGTTTTGAGACTGTGACGATAATTAAAAGCGGTAATCTGAAGCGCCGCTACGAAACAAAGCATAACTCTTTTTAGCAAACGTACCCACTGACATCAGAAATGAAGTCACATATAATAAACAATCTAAGAGCCCAATATGATCAGAATCATAACACATTAATTCTCTGTCCAACAATGATGTTAACAGAGAGGAATAGAGCTGAAACAAGTAGTTTCAATAACCACAGATAAAGTCCCTGAACACAATGTTCTCTTATTAGAAGATGAGAAAAATATAATACCTTTGTTTTCATGGTTGTCTTCACTTCACACCTGAATGAACTGAATTTAAAGCTGCAGGACAATTCAGTAAAATTATTTTTTCAAAAATGAAGTACTTTTTTATAGATGCAAATTTTTCAAAAGCTTTCTGTTATGTGTTTTGTTATTTAATGTATCCCTTATTTCTATTTGAAGCGAGAGACGAACATTTACTTATTATTAGAGTATGTATTATTTATAATTCATCCAGTTCAATTTGAAAACTGATGATAAATATTGAGATATTATTCAATAGATCGTCGTGTATTTCATTTGACAGTCAGTTGTCGTCTACATACAGACGTTAATACAACTGTTGGCTAATTCAATATATATGGGACTAAATTAATTTGACATTACTGTGATGTTCCGGACATTTGCATGAGGAAATTCTCTCTAAATGGACCTCGTTGAATTTAAATTGAATACCCCTGCTTTAGGTGGACCAGCACTATTCTCCTTCGACTGACAAGAGTTTATTATAAGTATTTATTTGAACTGTTTTTACTGATTACATTGTTAAACAGTTAATGATTAACATTGAAAACGAGGAACAATAATATATTTATATTTTTTCAAAATGATTGTTAGAACTGTAATGTTATCTTAAGTACTCATTGGCAAGCACTCAAATGTTATGAATAAAA